TGGTGCTATCTTGGTTGTCTCTTCCTAACAATGCTTCAGTAGAGCTATAATGCCACGGCATGTGTTCTGTCATCAGTATACATCCATGACCTACTTACCTGTGAGGGCCTGTTAACTTCTTTAGGCTCCTACATAAAATTCTGGAACTACTAGTAGTTTTAAAGTCCTTGTACAATCCCATTGTATTCTTTTTCTAACATGTCTCATTTTCTACTTTTCTGTCACTTCCTGACTAAGAAGTTTGCCTCAAACTGTTGTCAGAGCCCTATATAGAGCTGAGCAAATACTAGAAAGCGTTTCTATAATATGTGCTTGCATTTTTGCTTTTTCTTGTTCTGTGTTTGTGCTTTCTTAGCTTTTGCTACCCATAATTTGATTAACAGGAACATTTGCCAACATAAAGTATAGTTAAATCAAATATTGGAAAAATATTTGCAGAAAAGGAATTGTGAATTTGCAACTAAGTATTCAGTCTTGCTTCAAATGTTACACTAATTCAAGCAAAAAATAGAAACATCCTATGGGGTGGGTCTGTATTCCAATGCAAACAACTTGGGTTTTTGGTTTCCTAACAGTGAACATGCACATTAAACTACTTATAAAGCAACTATAGATCAAGAAATATTAATCACAATCTGCTCTTAGCAATTTACAAGAAGAAAAAGGTGAAGTTTATTGAAGCAATAATTTTTTCAATCATTTTGGCCAATTCATTTTCAGCTTTATGCTAATGTAATGATAGCAGGATCATCTGCACTGCTTTTTCTGATTATGCTAATCCTATGTACTTTTCTGTTGATCCAAGGGAGAAAGGAAGAAAAGTGTGTGTACGTGTGTGCATGTGCCTGCTTGCCTTGCTCTTTTGAATCATGGACATGTTTATATAGATTCCTTTCTTGGATCTGAAAAGTATATAGAATTAGCATCATATATTCTGTGTGTGTGTGTGTGTGTGTGTGTGTGTATTTGCAAATCTATGCAGGAAGATCTACTATTTACAATAATAGGAAATGGTTCTGCCATACCATAAAATATAATGCTAATCATTTAGGCAATTTATGTCTGGAATTTGTTTCCCGGAAAGAAGGAGCTTGAATGTACATTCACTTAAGACTAATCGGGTATAGTGCCAGCTGTAGCAGAGTAGGAAACCTCTCAAGCATTTTTAACAACCTTCGCAGCCTCGAGACATTGGCCACCATGGTGTCCCTGCTTTATCTGTGGCAGGGTATTATGTGTTGTGGTTATGTTAGGGTTAGGACCTTTGTTTCTAGTACATATTCCTGGCTACCCAACCAAAGGAAGAAGAACCTGGCCAGCATGCAGGCTCTACACAGCCGCACACCCTTACTCACTACTGAATTTGGGGGTTTTGAGTTGTTATTAGAAACCAAAATCAGTGGCCGGAGAAAAGGAGTCAAGTGGTGGCAGTCGTCACCTTGGTTTCTTGCCTCATGAAGAACCACTTACCCATTGCCAAAGGTGGATCATCTGACCCATGAGAAGCCATGTATGTGCTCCAGATCTTGCCTGTAAGCCACGTGACCCTACTGCTTAGACCATTCATTTGTAAGAGGAGTTTGTTTCATTTTCTTTGTTTTTAATTTGAATATTACAAATAAGAAGGTATCCGTTTACATATATGTAAACCAGCTGCCCCTAGTGTGTTTTTCATAGGTGATCTAAGAACAGAATTTGGTCTTTCTCTTTTTCAAACCAGTGTTTAGACAATCTAAAGTAGTTTGGAGACAGCTGTACCAAAAAAGATTTGTATCTTTTAACAAAATAATTTGATAGCATTAATCTAAAACACAGAATATCAAGTCAGCATTTAAAATGTAAACATGTACCTTATTACACACTTCTCTGGTGATCCTCGCTGTCTCATGTGATTACAGTGCTAGGCTATAGCCACTTATACAACTGCAAACACCAAGAGCTGAGATACAACTTTTCAAAGCACCTGGCACTACAGCAGTACTTACACATGTTAAAAAGTTCATAGAAACCAACTGGTTCAGAGAGACATGAACTTTTCGAGGCAACAACTTACATCATGAGATGCCAGGAATGGACTGAGGAATAGTACAAAAGTAATAGATTTCTATTACCAAGAATAGTAATACAAAGACGAATACTACAAAAAAATTAAGTCATTCTTAAATTTAAAGTAAATTCTTAAATTATTTTTAAAAATCTATTCAGGAATTCAGCATCTTTCTAAAGGAAGTAGCTTGTTCACCAATGATGATAAATTAACGATTTCTTTGCCTCCGTCTTCCTAAGTAGGGACCAGAACAGCAACCTCCCAGCTGGGCCCCCTTCAGGCCCCAGGGGAGGCACACCTGGGCCAAGGGTTAGCGAGGACTTAGTAAGGGAGCTTCTGAAGGGGCTGGACATACTCAAGTCAGCCGGTCCGGATGATCTCCACCCTAGAGTTCTAAAGGAGCTGGCCGAGGTTATTGCAGGTCCCCTGGCACGGCTTTACGAGCACTCGTGGTGCACTGGAGAGGTGCCAGAGGACTGGAAGAGGGCCAATGTGGTTCCAATCTTCAAAAAAGGGAGGAAGGAGGACCCGGGAAACTATAGGCCAGTTAGTCTTACCTCGATC